ATTTTCTGCAACAGGAAATGTTAGTAGTCTTCATCGGTTGGTGAATTGGATGAATCTGAGATAACATGAATATCAGACACTATTATGCTAGTGAAAACAGGAGCTGTGATGCCTTCTTTCATTTTAAACACCTTAGGGTTGATCTGCAGCTTCCCTCCCTAGTGTACTCCTATATTTGCTTACCCTGACACCTTTGTTCTCACTGCTGCCCCATTCTTGGGCTTTCCCACCAAGCTCTGCTTAACTTGTGATACTTCTTGCTCATCTGCGCTTAGCCGAAGCATCTGGTCTGGCAACAGTCTTTGCTGTCCTCACTCTGTGCTACGAAGGAGTATTTGTGCTGAACAGGTCCAAACGTCTGCTGGCCTGGAATAGTAGTTCTGTAGATCCCCACTGGTTTTGGGTCTGCACAATTTGCAGAGTGATTAACTTCCTGATTCTCAGAATTTCCTGGCCTGTGGGCCTCAGGCTGGGTCAAGATCGGAAATGGTGTCAGAGGGTCTAATTCTGAGAACAGATTCAGACCTACACTGAGCTAACAGTGTAACACAGCTCATGGAAATCCAAGTTCCAATGGGAAAAATAGGAGTAACAATTTCACTTTCTTATTGGAATACAGAGAGAAGAAATCCCAAAAAAGCATGTGGTGGGGGCTAACCTTTACAACGGCAATAGGCCTTTGCTACAAACTTACTCTAGTAATGCTGAAACTACATAGGACCTGCATGAAAATAAAAAAAAAAAGGATGGTTTAAGTGTGAAGGAATCAGTCACGACATCCCCTGCTTTTCATACAGGCAGTATCTTTGACCATCTCAGAGGGGAAAATGGAAGATCCTAAATAACTCCTTTGTTCCCTCTCTGTTGCTCATTCGTTAAAATCACCGAGAAGGTCATGGCCTTGTTGTAATGTAGGAGGAGAGGGGCGGGGGGATCAGCGACCCTGCCAGGTGTCAGGGATGGGTGGGCAAAGCCTGTTACCTTATGCAGAGGTTGGGACAGAAAGCTCTGACAAATGGGAAAGAAAAAATGCTTTATAGAAGCCAGGCTTCCTTCATGCTATCAGGTTCCCGCATGCCAACCCCTTGTAAAAAACAGTAAGGACTCTTTTCTAGGGTCCAGAAGACACAATTTTCATGATACATTTAGTATTCCTTAGTGCTGACGTGTCTGGCAAGGTTGCTTTTTCTTCTGGGCGTGCTTATCTCTGGCCTGAGCCCCACTGCACATAAATTAAGGGCAGCCTCCATTGCTATGTTTGCTGCCTGCTCTTCCATTCCTCCCGAGTTCTTCGCCAAGTTGCCTGTTACGCCCCTGCTTGTGCTCTAACCCCCTTCCCACAGCAGGGTGTGCTGCTGCTCATCCCACACGAGGGACCATGGAGCGGCTCTCTCGGATCTCCTGTGAAGAGCCTTACTGGAAGCCTCCCCAAATCCTGTGGGGACTGTCAGCTGAGCAGGGAGCCCTTTGCACCTTTTCACCTTGCTGTGACTGCTCGGGAACCAGAAACCCAGTGCCACCCCCGGCTCTTGCACAAAGGAACAGCAGTTTCCCTCGCTGTATCACCTCCTTGCTACGTTTCTGATTATTTTGCCTGCTTAAGATGCCGTTGTAAAGAAACCCCAGGGAATATGAAACATGTAACATTCAGCAGTGAATGCAAAGTTCTGCTCTTCTGCGAGAATTTGGGGTGAGGAGGGGAAACATTCTTCATGAATATGCTAGATGAGCTAAGCTAAAATGCAAAACAAATCAAGGAATAGGCAGAAAAGAATTATAGTATAAATAAATCATCAAATAAATAAGTCTCCTGCCAGCCCAGATTTTCTTGAGTTCAATTATTTGTAACTTTCCTCCAGCTATGAAAATTCTCAATGTTTTAAAAGTCGAAAGTTTTGTTTCTCATGGCTTGAGTGAAGATGGTTTTCCAGATGTGCTTAAAGGGGTTTCTGGGTCATTTAAGGTATCTTTCTTGGAAGCCGGAGCGACACTTGCCCCTCTTTAACATGATACAAACAATTGTGCTTTTAATCCAGTGTATCTTCCCGTCCTTATTTGCTGCCTCCTCCTTTGCGGGCTGCCTTTACCCTCACTGTCTCCCTGTTTTGTCAAGGGAAAAGAAAATGGTTCTGGATGACAGTGTTCCCAGGGCCTTCCAAACATGCCTTTCAGAGTTCACCTGAAAAGCCCTGTCACATTTGCTACTTCAGTTGTCTTTTTTGGTGCTTAAGAATAGTTCCTTGTTGGTGTCTCCCCATGTTCCTTGATGGTCTCACAGGAGATGAGCGCAGGTTCGGGGTTCTTCCCTGAGCGCTTCTTACCTGCCTCCACTCCAGAGAGGTGCCTCTGTCTGTGGGAATCGAGGAAACAACTCTATACGTCTGATGTGATGCTGCTGAAGTGCCCGATGGCGCTGCTGCAGGGGCGTTCCAGGCTAGAAACAAACCTTCCAAGTTCATCCATCTCTTTTTCCTGCTTTCCTGTCCCTCCAGTGACACATGGAGGCATGGCCTTCGAGGTACGGTATTGCCAGCTCTCCCCCAGAGGCAGAGGAACTTCACCCGGAGGGCTGGGGCCTGGGCATCTGGTATGGCATTTTGCAAAACAACCGTAATTTAGGGCAGTTCCATTTGCAGCTGAAGTGACGAGCTGAGGAGGTGTGGGCACCACATCTCTGCTTGTCACCTACATACCTTTGTGAGAGGCCATACTGAGAATGAGGTGCTTCAGCACAGTTCCCTCTCAAAAAATGAAGGCTGTGCCTTGTGGATATCTGCACGTATCCTTCAGAGGGAGAGCCTCAGAGGGAGGTTAGCTTTGTTTCTGAGCTGCTTTGAGAGCATCCCATTCTCAGGCTGGCTGACAGATGTGACAACTCCGACCCCTGAATCATTGTAGCTTGACTTGGCTGTACAGCTACAGATTCATGAGCTGCCCAGAGAGATCTTCAGGGATCCCACAGCCACCCTGGACAACAGCCTGTATGCTGGCAGAGCGGAGAATGAAGGTCATGTCTAATAAATGTCCTGTTTGATGAAGGCAGGGCCCACAGAGGAAGGGGAGCACTCCCCTTCCAGATGGGAAATGGGAGCCAGTGCATGAAGTCGAAGGTAAAGATGTGTAGGATCGCAGGGCACCACATCAGCTCTGTTCCTGTTGTTACCACGCTTTGGGGCAGTGGCAGCTGCTGGACGTGGCCACATCTGGGGGTGTTCGTCATCCTCCAGCAGGCAGTGCACACAGCTGCTGTGGTTGCTGCCGAACTCGTGGAACCAACAGTGCCTTGTGCCTCTGTCAAAAAACAAAACAACACAAGATGGGGTGAGGAAGAGACGCAGGTCTCAGTCTCTTATCCACTACATCATGTCAAGAGATGCATTTTCAAGAGAGATGTCCTTTGGCTCAAGTAGACACCAGGCATCAGTTATCAGCTTCCTTGACCATGCTACCACCTCACAGGCTAGTGGTGTGACTGAAGTACTGCTTGTTCCATCTATCCCACAGAGTTTGGGAGAGGGAGTAAAAGGTTTTGAAGGTGTTTTTTGTTAGTTAGTTAGTTAGTTTGTTTTCCAGTAAAATCTTTATTTACCCTCTCTGATATTGTTTCAAGGAAAAGCCGAATGATGAGGTCTGAGGATCCCTGTTCACCCTGTCTGGAAGCTCTGGAAGGTGGGGAAATTTATTTCCCTATCTCCACATATCATGAAGCAGAAGGAGCCAATACTAAACTGAGCGAGGTCTTCTCTTTCAAATGCCTGTGATTAGGTGATAACAATAAGAACAGCTAGTTCCAAATGGTAGATTTCAGGATTTGCCAAAGGAAAAATACTAAGCAAAACTACCTTCTCCTGCTCTCAGAAGCTAACGTTTTTCCTCCTTTGGGAGCTCCCAACATGCAGTCAGCTGGGACATATGCTGCATTGGCTTTCAGTTGATCTGTGTCCCTTGTAATCCCAAGGATTTCCCATGCTCCCTACATTCCCCTTCCTACCCTGCATGTCCACAAGGTGTTTTTCAGGGAACAGGTTTACGGCCAATTTTTATAATATCTCCACAGTGAAAGTCTTAACTTGGCTGCATACAGGCTCAGAGACCTCCTTTTTGCCCTCCTGCTCCTTCATTTTGCATCAAACGGCTAGAGAGGCAGCCGAGGATCGCACTTGCTGTCCTTAAACTCAACACAATTCAGATTCTCCCTAATGCTTCTTGAGGCAGAGAAAAGCAGAATTTCTAGGAATTTCTAGGGCATAAAGGTAAAACACTTTCTTTAAATTTTGAGCTATTTTTGTTTTTCCTCATGAACGTCAAAACCGTGTCACGTGTCTTATTTTTTTTTTCCTCTGTTCTGACCTTCTCCGATTTGGAGTCTATAGCGCTTCTCTCAAAGACTCACAAACACTGCTCAGCTACACACAGCTAAGAGCAGCATGCATGGAGGTGAGGAAAAGAGTGAACTCCAACTGGGAGCGTATAACTACTATTTATGCAGTACCCTGCAGCTTGCATATCTCTTTACACTGCAGCTGTGGCAATCCAGACAGTAGGCACACATGCCCAGAAGCCATGAAAGTGGTTGACCTAAGGGGTCAACAGAATACCAAACCCTGCACCAGGCAATGTCTGCCCAGCTCGTGTCCTCAGTTGTTAAAAGCAGAAAAGGCCTCTGGGAGGTCTGGGACTTGCCTGGCCTGATGTGACTCAAAATGAGGCCAAGTTCTCAGGTGGAAAGACAGAAATATTCTCACAATTGTAGCTATAGAACAGAACATCCCTAGGGGAGGAATTTTACCTGTTTTTCCTCTAGCTTATCTAGATCATGTCTGCAAGATGCTGAAGCTCAGCAACCTCGATATTAGGGACCTCCAGAGTGCAGTCATCAGCAGGGATGTCAATTTAAAACTTTTAGGGAGAACATGGTGTTTTTGTTTAACTGTCCAAAACCTCTCTCAGCAGGAGAACAGCTTCTCAGGGCAGCAGATTCACACTCAAGGCACAGCTTTGGAGTTGTGTCCCGGAGAGGTGCTATCTACCCAGCTGGCAGGTCAGGGCAGGTGCCCCAAGTGGGAGGTGATGCTACAGAAGGGGCTGCAGGTTAAATTCTGATCTGCAGGAAGCCATTCTCATGAGAATTCACTGTAGGTGAATGGCATATCTCGTGCAGGACGGTGAGCGTTTGGCCAGGAGGCAATGAGGGTGAGGACCAAAGAGCAGACGTGGTGCATTTATAAAACCATCACACCTATGCTCTGAATCTGTAATGGAGTACTTAACTCCTCCTCTGGTAAGTAGGCAAGTGGGCCTAGTATGCCTAATTTTCTCTGCTCATCCTGCATAAAGTAAGCAGTAACTGCCTATCAGTTAACTGGATCCTGAGCAGAGCTGAGCTTGGGAAGTTATACCTTTATTTTACTGCAGATCAGCATGAATGGATATATAAAGTACCCATGTAAAATGAGGACATTTCTGCTAATGGATGTCACAGAAGCACAGGCCAAGAGAAGTGCTGTTGTCAAGTGTAGGTGTCTGGCATCATTTTAGTTTTCCCAGGATAGCTGAGATATTCATGGAAAATTGGCAGATACGATATAGGTTTTATGCCAACCAGGAGGGCCAGGTAGCTTACAGCGAAGTTCCTTCTCCCACGCCCGCAATGTGCAGGAGCTGGGGTTGTTTTTCATTCTTTGCATGGCTATAATTCAAAGGTGACAAGACAATGTGGAAATGATGTGCACGCTACAAGACATACGCACACTGGACCGGTGCAGAAGTTGAAACACTCATGACCGTTTATGAAAAGCTGTCACTCTTGTTCCACTTGGTAGATCTGAGTTCAAGTGTATGTAGGGGACAAGACTGAAATACTCTGGAGTATCTTCCGAAAATAGGAGGGGTAAACCCTGGATCCACAAGGTACAGGATGATGGATGTGCCATTCTAGGAAGGCCTGGATCCTCTCAAAATTAGATGCCTTTATTCTGGGATTTATGGGTAGCGATTCTACCAAAGACAAACATTGAGATCAGAGGATAGGGCAGTTGATATGAAGTAGAGGTCATAGCTATCAGGTCATGCTGCTTCTTGATATCTGGAATAAGAGACACTCATCTGGCTTGACCTGCCATGGTGTCAGAGTGGTGTTGCAAGGGCACTGCAGTACAGGTACTGGCAACTATATGGCTGGTACGCTTTTAGAAGTCAGTGTCTCTATAGCTTCTCTGGAATCTATTCGTCATCAATCTTTATTTCTAAGAACATATTGCTGAGCTCTGATATCACTAAGCTCTGATACATTC